TAGCACTTGTACAAGCTATTCATTTTTTGCTATTTATTTCATCTTCAAATAGGTGCAAACTGTATTTACTTCAAGATAAGTACTTTTTGCATATTTTTAGTTTAAAAAATAAGTACTTTATATATTTAAAAAAAATTTTTTTGGTACCAGGGATCGACTCAGGACCTTGCTCTTGCAAGGCAGGCATGGTGCCACTGAGCTAAATCCCTGGCCTATATTTTAAAATTTCCATTGAAATTTAGTTTTGAATTGTACAAAAATCCCTAGTAAGGCTTTCTTGTGGGGAGGAGTACTGGGGATTTAACTTGGGACTTTGTGCTTTCAAGGCAGGCAGCAGCACCACTGAGCTAAATCCCCAGACCCTAGTCAGTCTTTTAAAAGTATATAGTGGGTTTCTAAAACTTTGATAGTAAAATTTTGATAATATAATGTCAAATTACTGATATCTTATAACCTTTAGTGAAATTATAATTAAACTCACAGCAATATCAAAATACTAAAAAGGTAACATTTGTGCACACTTCCTCTGAGCATCTGTTGAAAATATAAACACATGAAGCAGTAGAAAAATCTCTAATAGAAGATACATGCAGTACCTCTAAAATCTATAAGGACTAGCAGCACCATGAGAACACATAATCTAAACATTAGAAAAAATCTAAATATATTCAATGTTTAAAAGAGCCTATTTTGGGGCTGGGGATACAGCTCAGTGGCACAGTGTCTTCCTGGCAAGCATGACGCCCTGAGTTCAATTCCCGATACCACCCTCCCAAAAAACCCCAAAAGCTTATTTTCCATTATAGTAGTCAAAATGCTATCAAATTTTTTTCAGTACAAAAATAGCTTCACAATCTGTTGGTTTATATACACATCTGTTCTCAAAATATGACAGCAGCTATTTATAAACATTGTACTGCGTATTAGAGAATCATAATACTATAATAAACAAAATGAAAACTTAGTTTTCAGTATTACATTCCAACATCACTGGACTATTTCCAAGAGAATATTATGTAGTTTTAAATCTTAAAAAAACTATTGTTTATTATTTATAAGAAATAAGTACATTATAGAATTTCACACACCTGACACTACAAAGCAAACCATTTCCTAGGAGACAGTAAAACCCTGTATCATATGCACCTGCAAGTATTAGTATCTACTTCACAGCTAATCTAAGACTATTAGCTCAAAGGCTGCCGTGAGACATTGTGGGTCAGTGTGTATCTATTAAATCCTAAAGGGATAGTATTATTTTGGTTAAAAATAATTTTTAAAGAAATAAATAGAAATTTAGATAAAATATAGTAACATTTCCCCAAAGACATTAGTAAATATTTAATCCTCATGAGCTCCCGGTTTCACACATTCTTAAACATTTAAAGCATTTAAAGAAGTTGCCTCATTTCTTTGAGCACCTGCACTCCACCCTTAAGTGTGTCCTATATTTCTAAAATCTTTACCTAATAAACCATTCTCTTGCCTCTTAAAAAAAAGTACACTAAAAGTATCGATTCTATGAAACTTATTCAATAAGTATTTTCACATAGTTTATGACATAAAAGTACTAAGCAGCTCGTGCATTTAAAATTTAGTTCAGCAGCATAATATAAAAATCAGAGTAAGAAGTCAATGATTTAAGGTAACCTACAATGCCATTGAAATAGATATGGTTTTAACAGCTTAGTACTAAAAGTTTTTTAAACCTCAAAATTAACTTTAAAAAAGTAGGGCCGGGAATTTAGCTCAGTGGTTCGGTGGCCTGCCCTGCAAGCGCAAGGACCAGAGTTTAATCCCCGGTACCAAAAAAAAAAAAAAGTATCTGTGGATGATTTGCTTTAAATTAATACAGTGGTAGAGGAGCAGGGGGCGGTAGAGATGAAGTAATACTGGTCATTTTTAAAAAACTGTAACAGCTGGCCACTATGTTCATAGGAGTCCTTTATGGTAGTCTATTATATACATATCTGAAAAATGTTATAATAAAAAATTATAAAATGAAATCAAAGCTACATAATAAACTTTGAACATAAAGCAGTGAGTAAAGAATAAATTATAACTACATTACTAAAAGTTTCCGGGCTAAATGAAAAAAATCAAAGCTTCCTTATGTTAATGAATTAATGAAGAACGAAATCTGAGTTTTAAGAAGAATGGAAGTAGCTATTAATGCAGTCAATTCATAATGAACTTGACTGACTAGATCACACTGTTCCCTATGTTCCCAAAGTTTTTAAAGTACAAACATTCTTGTGATTTTGCTCCTTATTTAGCAGCAAAACAGAATCAACCAGACCAGATACTGGAAAATTTTTCTTGTTACTCATTCTTTTTTTGTTAAAACAAATCTTAAGGAAGGATGATGAATAGTCTAAATAACCCTTAAGAACGTAAGATGTTGTCTTCCTTCGTCATGGAAAAAAGAACAGTATATCTAATTTAAACACTTGAGAGTTTAAAATTTAAATAAAATTAATTTTAATACTTTTGTCTGTAATTCATGAAACATTATATGTACACAGGTCTCCCAGGATAGGAACATTTATAGACCTTTCTGACACAACAATGTGCTTGTGTTGGGTATTCGACTGAAATATACTACTAGATGACAGTACATACTAAGGTCAAAATAACTGAGAGACTGACTCCAAGTCTTTGCTAATGAGCTATGTGACCTAGGACAACTCATCTGTATCCTAAGATTTAGTCTTCACATGTGCCAAAGACACATGCTTTCAAGCTTTAATATTTTACACTGTAATCTAGTACATACTGCTGAATCAGTTTTTAGTCTCTTTTTTTGCAGTGCTGGAATGGAATCCAAGGCACTCAGTATGCTAGGCAAGTCCTCTACCACTGAGCGAATATCCCCAGTAACTAGATGAATATTAATTAATAGCAAAATAAAAACAAATTTAGAGACTAAGTCTTCTAAAATTCTGTAGTTAAGTTTTTTGTTGTTGTTTTTTTGAGACAGGGGCTCACTCTGTAGTTTGCTCTGGCCTTGAACTCACTATGTAGCCCAGGATGGCCTTGAACTCATAACAACCCTCCTGCCTCAGTCTCCCAAGTGCTAGGATTACAGATGTGAGCTACATCACACTTGGCCTTAGCATTCTTAAAATAATAAAATCACTAAGAGTACATGGGCCAGGGATTTAGCTCAGTGGTTCGGTGGCCTGCCTTGCAAGCGCAAGGACCCGAGTTCAATCCCTGGTACCAAAAAAAAAAAAAAAAAAGTACATAATATTTTTAACATAATTCCTGCTAAGCTTTATATTCAAACTTCTGTCAAATATCTCCAAGGCTAATCTATAAATTGCAGTAATCAAAGAAGCTATAACGTCAAGCCAAAGTGATTCCTATTATAAAGTTTTGTTTGTTTTTTGGTACCCGGGATTGAACTCAGGACCTTGCACTGTGGGGCAGGCACAGTGCCACTGAGCTAAATCCCTGGCCTTTAAAGTGATTCCTATTAAACAGCCATGAACAGAGAGAAATCAGTTAGATGAAGACCAATCCCAAGTAAGTAATGCCAAATACTAATGACCAACAAAACTAAACATTTAGAGAATTGTACGTGTAGAAAGTAAACCAGAAATAGCTTTTTGAATGTTATATTAGAAAGTTTTTATTTCTAAATGTCACAGTATTCAATGCACAGGACTTAGAAATCAAGTATAATAATGATCAGTGGTGTTGTTTATTTATTAAATAGATATGTGAAATGTAACTTAATAAGAAGAAAAATTTTCCTTCTTTAAATGTAAGTACCCATATTAATTACATCATTTGTAAAATATCTTTGGTAAGATTACAAAAGAATTATAGTTTTGAAAAATGGATTGTTAAATAATGCGAACATACTCAAGTTAGAACTGGCAGTTTTCATGTTTCGCATGAAATCTATTATAAATGCAAAATAAGTTTAATGATTTTGTTCAAAACTATTAGCATTTAACCAACCAACAAGAAGAGCTTTGTAGTCAAATTGTTTTTTCTTATTCATTTCAAAAACCCTTAATTTTCTTCTTAGCCTGATCATTACGCCTCAACGTTAGTATCTAATATATTTCATTTTGAACGCCTACTATTGAATACATTTCAACTGAAGTAGAAATTCTCATGAGAAAGAGAATTTGAAGTATCTCACTTCACAATTCTTAAGAAATTGATTTTTAAGAAGCAGCCAGGGCCAAGGATTTAGCTCAGTGCCACTGTGCCTGCCTTGCAAGCGCAAGGTCCTGAATTTGATGCCTGGTACCACAAAAAAAACTGGTAAGACAGAAAAATATACAAAAGAAAATTTGTCTTATTTTCTTAATTTTAATAAACACTAGTGAAAAGCAAAGCATAAAAATTAACTTTAAGACAGATAAGGTATTGATTTTACATTTGCAATACTACAATAGTTCTCTTTATATCCTAAAAATACCACAGTATAGCCAATAATTATAGTATCTGGTTTGCAACACATTTAGGACAAATTATCCCTGCAGAATATGAAATTCTTTTAAAATTCAGAAGCAAGTTAGGCTTTACTTTCCACTCTTAAGCAAAAATAAATCTGCCATTAACATTAACCAGCTTATGCTGTAAGTTTCTATACTAACTGGTTCTTTCTGTGAAATCACATGAGATCACCCTATATGGTAGAGTATAATTTCAGAGTGGAAAGCCTATTTTTTTTTAAAAAATACAACTTCTAACCCTTTAAGAGCATATAAGAAAAGAGAAACCAGGTTAACACAGGGAGCCCTTAAGGGCCTATTAAAAAAAAAAAAAAAAGAAGGGATTCATAATATTTTCTTTTGCTGAAAAGCAATTTTTCTGTAGTAACTCAATATTCCACATTTCTTCTACACAGATAAAGGAAATGTTCATTCCAGCAACAATACTCAAATTAATAAAACTATGACCTTGAGAGTATCTGAAAACAAAAAAACTTTCTTATTTACATATTTTACTTAATCATGATTGTGGAATTGAATCTGTACCTATGTGAAAATGGCAATGCATTCTGAGTTGGTTCAGCTCTTGACTCTGAGTTCTGGGTCACATCAGGTGTTCTCTCATCATCTGTTCCATTGATACTTTCTGGTGTTAAAGGAGACTGAAGATCTCCACCTGCCGATTCCTTGAAAAAAGGAGATGGGAAAAAAAGAAAAGAGTTACATTTTAGTTCAAGCACACAATGTAATCTTAAGGTTAAAAGTGACTGTGATGCATCCTTTCATATGAACCAAATTTCCACTGAAATGTAATGCCTGCCTCAGTCTTCCACATAGCTGAGACATGTGCCTACGCCCAACAAGAAACACTTTTCTGAAGCAAAAGCAACTTTCATAAAAATTCACCAAAATATATTTTAGATATGTAGTTTTAAAAAGGTGAAGAACTTTTAGGTTAATGTAAAGTAACTAATGGTCAGAATACAATATGCAAAGAATATTCAGAAAAATAAGATGGCACACAAATTCAAAACGTGTTATTTTGAGGAAGAAGGAGGTAATGAGAAGGATGCAAGAAGAATAAGGAAGGCAAAGGGGACAATGAAGTCTGCAAAAAGTTTAACTTTAAAAAGTTTAAAGTTTTTAATCTGCTTACTTTTCAGTTCACACAGAGCTATTCAGAAAAGAAACCAGAAATACTTCTCTAATATAGCATACATAATGACATTAGTACATTTCAGTTTGTGTCTGGTACTCAGAATGGACTTATTTCTCAGAAAAATTCCTCTGAATTTTGGTTGAAATAAGATTTCCCTATCACAGTGAATATATCCCTTTGGACAACAAATGCAATTTAATATGAATTCAAGCTGATACTTAATTCTTGTGTCTGCCATCATGAGACTATCCAAATTTGGCACTAGGAATGAGAAAGATGGTCATCTGATAAACTGTTAACTAGGGGAGGTGCTAGCAAGTAATGCTAATGAGTGCTAATGAGTAATGTGGCAGACCTGTTATGGTCCCTGGGCAATAGAACTCAACAACTGCAATATCTCTGCTAGAAGGAAAAATGAAAACCCAAGTGTCTAACAGAGTGGGTAAGGATGGTCATAATTTGTCAACTGAGAGAATTCAAGATTTCTTCAAACAATATGAAGATAAAAAATGCTTATAACAGAAGAGATGACTATATAAAACAGTATCTAGGTTATAACATATACTTTACATTTAAAATGCTATACATGAAGTGCTAGAAAGAAATATGGAAAATATTAATGTGTAAGAATTCTTTTTGGTACTTTTTATTTTATATTGTTATATGCATTTTATCTCAAATTTAAATCGCTTAACTAGTAGTATATTGCTATAAATTATATAAGCTATCAAATTTCAAGGGTATGCTTTCTTAATTCCAAATTATCAATTAATCACTTGTAACTGTCAATGAAACCTTTATTTTGACCTTTAACTTCATTCTTACTAAATCTTTCTTTCTTACTAATCTTTCTCCAGAAATGTCTTTGTTTCTATTCACTGATAGTCAAAGTATGAATAAAACCTATAGTATAATATGGCAATATAAAACTTTCTTTTTTTTTGGTACCGGGGATCGAACTCGGGTCTTTGAGCTTGCAAGGCAGGCGGTGGAACCACTGAGCCAAATCCCTGGCCCTAAAACTGTTTTACAACAAAATCAAATTCTACTAAATGGATAAATAACCAGTAATCAACAATGTTACTATTTTGTCAGTTATGGATTACCTTAATTTGCCAGAAAAGATTTAAGCAGCTATTAAAAAAAACCGAGATTAACAACTTTTGTATTAATAAATGAGGCCTATTTCTCTATAAAATAGGACAAACCCCAGTAATCAAGGTTGACAGTCCGAGTTAATTTGGCCAAGATTTGATTAAAAAAAAAATCTTGTTAAAAATCAAAGAGAATAAGCAGAGTTAGAAGCCAAGGATTAATTTAAGAATTTTCTGGACTTAGCTGACAAGAATGTGGAGGAAAGATACAGATTAGGATCAAAAGCTAGAGGAGAAGATGGGTAGCAGTGTGATTCAGGAGTAAAAATGAGAGTTGAGGTATAGGGCCTGGGAAATGCATGAATCTTGATGCTACAGAAATGGGAAGACTGATCTCAGAGGGAAATTAGGAAAGAAAAGGAAGAGGAAGAACTACTAAACACTGCAACAATTCCAGTATGTCAAGGCAGCAAGCTTTTCATCAGAAGACTTAAATATCAACTAGCTTTAAAGAAATATTAGGTTATTAAAAATAAAAAACAGTCTACACAAAGTATATATTTTTTAAAAATCTCATATTTGCTCATGAAAACAAGAAAAAGTTTTGATAGTAAATAAAAGCATAAAAGAAAAAAACTCTTTTTTCCTACCACATAAGTAACAACAACAACAAAAAAAAAATTCAGAAATTTTAGATATGCTGCAAGTGGCACTGGAAATCTGTCTTCTATTTAATATATTTTTACATCTCTAGTTTTGACTTTTTCAATCTAAATTTTGTGTATTTTCTAAACATTCAACTTTGGTTATTCCTTTTAAAAAAAGCCACCTTATCCTTCTACAAAACATTTTATCTTTGAATCAGACATTAAAATAAAACTTAGGGAATATTTACTGGATTATAAATTTCTGGAAAAAAAAGGATAATTTCCTTTAGGAAGACTCTTATGGTTAGCCATTTTTATCGTAAATGCTTATGGAAAAAATTATTAAACAATATCTTCTTTGAGATATATATAAATACATGTGCATGTCTCTCTATATAAACACAGTATAAATAAACCAGTCAATAAGAAAATGGAAAAAATATAAGGTATAAATATGCATCTACTGAACCTTTCCTTTGCCGTCACATCCTATCTTGAGTCAGTACAATTGCTCATATATTAATTTGTTTCTCCATCAATCCCCCCCTCAATAAAACAAACTGCAATCACAAAAAGAAAACGGCAGTCAACATAAAGAAAAAAAATTCTGAGATTATGGAAGGGCTAAGAATTCTTTTTTCTTATCTCTTATGAAATGTCAAGAAAGCCAAAAGATGAGGCATATTCTGAATCCCATGGAGAAGAAATGACCTTGGCCCACACATGGGGGCCAGCCTCCAGCATGGTATCGCCACCTACTCTACTACACTATCAGAGCACTCAGAGAATGCAGATTCAAGAGAAGTTTCAAAATGATCATTGACCTTATTCCAGGTCACTGCAAGAAGAGAGTTCTACTGGAGTTTTGGCTTCAATCCAGAATAAACTTTCAGTGTGTCACAACATATGTACTTTAAACTTTAAGAAGTCATCCTTTTCTATTAAAAAAAATTTTTTTTTTTTTTTTGTATTTTGCCAAGTACAGTTGGATGCAAGGGGTGGGGAGGGACTTGAAAAACAAAAAATTTTCTAAACTGTTTAACCATTTAGTTATTCATTAAACTCCAAGGCAATTCTTGTTTACTTCTTCAAGAAAGTTCCACATACATCTGCTACCGTTGACATTATTCCAGAGAAACATTTGCAGCATTTGACTCTTTTCATGAAAGCTACAGCATACATATTAGAAACAATTACTTTGGAGGACACAAAACAAAGCTGGAACCTACTCCTAAGACTGAATTTGAAATAAAAATTTAATTTTAGGAAAGCCTACTATTAAAAAGCTGAATTACCATTCTACATGTATCAGATATTGAAACCTTTGTAAAATTACTGAAACTTAACTATTTAATGAGCTTTATTTGAAGATAGAAAAAATTTGATGGACAGATTATTAATTAAAGGAAAATGTGACTGATACTTTTAGAAAATTGATAAACTTTGTGCCTCAGTGCTAAGTATAAAAATGTTTTAACTTTTGTATACTTGAATGTCATGTAGAACAAGACATATTTACATTTTAGAAATTTTTTCTGTATTTTATAATGTTTTGGCATTTTAAGAACACCTTCTGGTCAGGGAGAAACTCTCTCTTTCTCCAGGGTACCCAATTCTTAGATATCCAGGCCTCAACGCAAAGCACAAATGTGCTATCCAACTAACCAGCCTATAGCCATACTTCCTGTCCCGCCTATACACTTTAGAGACAACATTCCTTTGCCTTAATCACCCTGAACTGAAATTATTCAAACCACCCAATCTGTTTTTAATGCCCCTTTGCCTTTCCAGTGGAAATCCCAACAAAGGCTCTACCATGACTTTCCCTTTGCTCCTGTTTTCCACTTCCTGACGATTCCTGAAATGTCCCTTGTGGTTCTGCACAATAAGCCATGCCCAATTTCTGGGATCTGTGAATATGCTAAATTTTTTGTCTTCCTAAGCTTCTTTTATGGCTTAATTGCCTGACCAACACCTAAAAGGACATGGAACACAGGCCAATCTGTGATCTTTGTGTTCTTTTGATTTTAAGTTTTTATGAACATTAAATACTAAATGAGTAAATACTAAACTGAATTTTAAAAATATTTCTGTAGACACTGACATACAGAAATCTTTCTCTACCAGGAGATGTCAACTAAAGAATGTATCACTATGCCCACTTGGGAAATGAATTTGCCATTATTTTTCCAAATTTAACTAACTCTGGCATAAAGGATAACATCTGAAATGAAAAGCCTCATAAATATAAACCGGAGCAAAACACCTACCTGTGAAGGTGTACTGGTAAGTTCCATCTTCTCCTGCGATTTCTCCTTTGCTAGCCGAGCAGCTTCTTTAAATTCCTGAAATTTTTCTGCAAACTGAATGGATAAGGACTATATACATTAATCAAATAAGCAGTCACAGTGCCCACATTTATCTTAATTTGCTTTCATTTCTGAATAATTGACTCTTATACAAGCAAATAAACTCCAGAGCAACAGTAGCTTGTAACATGAAAAAGATAGAAAAAGAAGCAAAGCACCAAATATTTGTTGTCCATAAATTACTATGACAAGTTTCATTCAAAATATCACTGTACAGCAAAGAAGTGGGTGACAGAAAGCTTACTTATATACCTCCCTAGTTCAGAAATACCTACTATGACGGAGTAGAGGTGGAATCAGTAAAGAGAGGCATAGTATGTTTTGTTTATCTGAGAAAACTCAATCTCTTTATTAATTTTATTGTTAAACTGAATTTCTTAAGTATGCATATTACAGTACTGAGAAATTGCTTTTAGACATTACGAAGATATAAACTCATACAAGGCATTTTATTTTCAATATTATAAATATTTACTATTATCACTAATATATAACTAAAACTTCATTTCTCAAAATTTCTAAGCCACTAGTGTATAGCTATACTTTTTTTTTTTTTTTTAAACTGGGGATTGAACTCAGGACTTTGCACTTAAGAAGCAGGCAGTGGAACCACTAAGCCAAAACCCCGCCCTAAAGCTATACTATTGCTAATTTTTATATCCTTAGTTTTCAGCAAAAGAAAAGCATGATGGCTTCAGATTTCATAACAAATACAACTTAATAAGCACACTTGCTCACATCAGTCACTCTTACATGGTCATACATTTCTTCATGATGCTGCCATCCTTGTTTTGAAAGGCTTTATTTATAATTGCCTTCAAACCTTCCCCAAATCCTTGTCATGCTTTGACTCTCACATGGCTAAACCTGAATATTTAATGCTTGTTTCATTTATGTAAGTGATTATAAATTCCCTTGGGACCCCTAGTTTGAAAAGCACCTAAATTAGTCTTCAAGGTAGTTTGAAAAACACATTATGATTTTGTCACATCTGAATCAACACATTATGAAGAGACTAATGTAAGCTCTTAGCGTCAACTTCTTGGCTCTAAGAGCTTAGGCACTGTTTCCCAATATTCTATCTACCCTCAAAATACTACAGTTCATGACAGGAATAAACTAGTTAAAGCACATGCTAACTTTACAGAGGAAAAATTTTTCTTGAAAAATAAAAGCCATCCCCAGGAAAAAATCAAATAAGAAGAGACAGCCTGATTGACAGAATGTACTAACTACTCCTTTCCTACATTAGCTAGCTACTTAGTGACTTGAAAGATGTAATGAAGAACTTAATTTATATGCTAAAGTACTTGGGCCCCAAAATCATTTCACGTAGATTTATCTGATAAGTCAAACCACAATTTACTGTGCTACAAAGTCAACACATGTTACAAATGAAATACAGTTTTGTTGCTGTAGGCTTTAATAGAAAGATTCTAAAAAAGTTCTGAGTAAAGGCAAAAGTAAAATAAACAGATAATTTTCCAATGGAATTGCTTAGTAAATGACAAGGTTCAACTGGATGCCTGTGTTTCTATTATGTTGAGATACTCTGAATCTAAAACTCAAACCTATACCACAATTCAAGAAATATATTCCGAGAATAAGACATACATAAAGGTACCATGTTAACTAAAACATACATTAAAGCCTGGGCTTCACATATGCTAGGCAAGTGCTCTACCACTGAGCTACGTTCCAGTCCACACTTGTTTGTTTTAATCACATCTCACACAGAATGATTTATAATGACAAAGACAAAAGTTAAAATAGTCTTAAAATTGAGCTTTAAACAATTTATATAAAAAGGTAACAAAAACACTGAAAATATCAATGGTAAGGAAAGTTTACGACTAAACTAGAATAGAACAAAGTGGACTATTTCAACTATTATACTATGTAGTTATAACTTCAAGTCAATAAGCATTCACAACAGTATAAGATTTTTTTAAAAAAAGAATTCAGCTTTAGAAACCTGAGTAATTTCTGTAATAAGACACCTTAAAATTTAATGAAAATAATGTGTTTATCTATATGATTCTGATTTTACTTGAACAATTTCAACTCTCAAGACACCATATCCTGTCTATAACAAATCACACATAAAGTGTTCAAATGCGGGGCTAGCCCTTTAAAAGACATGCCAAACACAGATTTTAGAGTAACTCTTTAGGTCTGGTGGGCATAAAATCTGAACAGCAAAGTGAGTAATAATAATCTGGATCAACATTTTGTATCCTGAGATTGTTTTCCCCGTTTCTATACTTTTTTCTGTGTAACATCCACCAGAACTCAAGGTACTGCTGGTGTGAACAGCAAGTGCGTGGCTTTTGCTTATGGCAGGACAATAGTTTTATTTCCAATATTACCTTGGTGATGTGCCACATTTTACTGGCCTTTGTGGCCAGTCATTCGCTTAGTTAGTATTACCCAAGAATTATTTATGATGTCTGTTTCATCTCACTCTGTACTGCATACAACCAATTTCCCCTAAATTTAAAAATTTATGCTGGACAGGTTGGCACATGCCTGTGAAATCCTAGACTTCTAAGAAGCTGAGGCAAGGGGATAGAGCAAGTTTAAATCCCAGTCTGGGCAACTTAGTGACTTAACAAGATCCTTTCAAAATAAAAATAAGAAAAGAGCTGGTGATACAGCTTAGTATAAAAGCCCTGGGGTTCAATCCCCAGTGCTACAAGAAAAAAAAACTGTAATATTAATTTATATGTGCCTGGTATATCAAAACGCTTAAGTCTGTATCACTATCACCTTCAGTTTTCACAATTTAGAAGAGCTTGCTATCTGCCTATCTTGCAGATGGTTTCCAATCAAAAGTGCTAATCTCTGGGCAAAATCCCTTCTAAAGCGATGATCTCTACTTTTTATTTCCTATCACACAGATATTAACCAGACAAATCCTTCTCAACTGATGACGACTGTTCTTAATGTGTATAGGACATTTCTCAAGGGACAGAGGATCCAATGAGCTCTTGCTTCTTGCTCTAAAATCTCAGTTGTTCTGAGAATATTAAATAAATTCCTCCACTATTTTATACTCTTCACTTGCTGTTATATATCTAAGACATATGAATTGAAGTTGAAGATTTTTCACTCAGATCTTATGATTTATAACTTACTTTCGAAAGATGATGCTCAGAGGAGAATCCTAATCCATAAACCGTGTTTGCCCGGCTATCGGCCCACTGGCCAAACTTTTGAGATGTTTTAGTGAATGTCATGTTTGGAGTGATAGTGCTATTTATTATTGCCTGAAAAAGAAAGCAACTGTGAGCAACCAGTCAAAAATGAACAAATAGGCAAATAGGCATTTAATTAAAGGATCACTCAGTCACATAAAAGTTTAGTATCACTAGTAAGCCAAAATGTTAAATATATAGAAATGGCCGGTTGTGGTGGCGCACGCCTGTAATCCTAGCACTCAGGAGGCTGAGGTAGGAGGATCGCTGTGAGTTCGAGACCAGCCTGAGCTACATAGTGAGTTCCAGGTCAGTCTCACTACATAGTGAGACACTGTCTTGACACCCCCCAAATAAATAAATATATAGATAATGGTAGAAACAGTTTCTAGCATTTTAAGTAACAATGTGGAAATGCAGTTTCTAATAAAACTATAAATAAAATGGTACTCTCTCCACCAAAATTTTCAGTATCTTATACTCAAAACAAATATTCCTAGAATCCAAAAAAATTTACTTTTTAATGTGGTGAAATTCTTCCTTTTGAGTGTTTAGGATCAGTATTTATTAATTTTGGATGATCTCACTGGAAGCAAATAGGTCTCAGTCTTAATAGTGTTTAAATATTTAAAAGTAGGATCTCAGAAAAACCTTTAACGCACAGTTTCTTGGAAAACTAGTATTTCAGCAATATTATTAAAATATTAACTCCAGTGATCATAATAAATTTCAACTACTGTAATATTAATTCATGACATCTCTCAGTATTAGAAAAGTAAACAATTATGTTTAGTCTGTTTATTATAATAATAAAAAGATACATGTTATCAAACCCATAAGCAGTCAACTGGTAAACTATTAAATGCAGAGGAGAAATCAAATATTTTCAGAAGAAAGCTAAATTTGTTTACCAGGTGAACAACAGATATTAATGTAAAGTATTTATGAGCTATGCATGTATGGATAAAGTTATGTTCAACCACCCTACTAAAGAAGACAATAAAACAGAAATTGGTCTTTTTCCTCTCACAGGTAAGTAGATGTGTTATACATTATTATATGAGAGCCCACATCCTCAGTGAAAAGCTCTATATTCACTCTTATATAGCTTCCATACCCTTCAAAAAAGAGGCTTCTTCCAGCCTAGCATTTTATATGTGTAAAATGTGGCTATCCACTAATATGTAGTGCTATCATCAAATGAAAGACTAAATGGAAAAACTTTATTCACAAATAGAAAGGGACTATTCATTTTATTCAACATTTTAAAAAAATACCTATTATATGCCAAGCATAATTCTAGACATTTAAGAGAGAGGCAATGTAATTATGGACTTTATTCTATGAGGAGTCAGCAAATGCACCAGTAAATAAATAGCTGACAATTTATTGGCTATGTGGGGTGAAGCCCCTAAGACCAGGATGTGATAGAGTAGAAGGTGAGCTGATAAAGACTACCCAACAATGATTAAAATATCATGGTCATTACCAGTCTTTGAAGAACATTTGATCTGCAACCTGACTAGTATTTTCAGGGAGATAGGGCATTTTTACATGAGATGCCAATAACTCTCAAAAAGTAGTGTAGCAACAGATTTTATAGGCACCTAAGAAAGTTGATCAGTGTGCTGCTGTTCAGACTACATTTAACTACTTCAAATGAACATTTCTCTGCTTTGTTAAGAGTTCTGTATAATCTCCACCTTGAACCCTTCCTAGCCTCTATATTACTTGTTCTTTAGTGACTGAAGAAAAACTTAAAAAAAAAAATCCCACACCTAAATGTTTATTTCTTAGATTCTTTGAGGAGGCTATTATGAATACTTTTAAAAAAAAATTTTAGTGCTTTAAAATATGACACTCAATCCTGAAGTTCTTGTACTTTTTCAGAAAAAGATAAAAAATGCTTTGCCATCACAGATCACATAGTGTCCCATCCTGGCTTTTGGCCATGCCAATATCTCAGCTGCATGATCAGAAAACCTTAAAGCAAACACTGCATACACAGGACAGGCACTGAACATTCCTGCTAACGAAAAAGCAACTACTCCTGTTATGAAGTGTTGTAATCACAGCTAAAGACACTCATGAAATAGGACTCCAGAGCTGCTTCAGAAAGTGGCGAGAATGATGGAATAAGTATGTTCAAAGTGAAGAAGATTATTCTGAAGGGGATTAATGTAATGTATCTTTTTCTGTCATAATTTTTTATTTAAACACTGTTATGGTTTGTATCTAGATGTTGCCTTAAAGCCTCATGTGGTCATAGGTGGGGCCTTTCAGAGGTGGCTGGATCTAGGGCGTGTGATGTTGGAATCAAGAATGTGATTCTGGGATTGATTTATGGGCTGCCCCATCCCAGATGGGAGTGCTACCCCCATGAAGGGTGGGCAGCCTGGATAGGATATAAGGAACAGAAAGAGAGTAGCTGCTTGTCACTTGCTACCTTCTGCTTTGTGCCTGCCGTGAACAGTTTTTCCTCTGCAATGCCCTTTGGCATGCCATGCTGCCTTCGAGTCAGCCAACTATGAACTGAAACATCTATACACTGTGAGCCAAAAACAAACAAAAAAAAGAGAAGTGCTGAAGTTAACAGCAATAATTTAGAAAAGTAGCCAGACAATGAAAATCTGATAAAAATACAACTCTGCTACAGAAGACAGATTTTACTGAAACAGTATAAAACATATTCACACATTATTTAAGGTTCTAATATATTCAGAAATGGAACTGCCAAAAGCAATAGTTCATATTGCTTCAGAAGGAAGAATACACAGGATTATTTAATCACCAAATTCTTCTTTTGGAAAATGAAGTATTTTAATCTGGTGAAGGTTAGTCAGCAACTAAAATCTATTTAATCATTCGACATAGTTTCTTTTCTTGGACATGGACTACTTTAATTGATCTTTACTTTTGTATACCATTTAACCTTCTATCTAAGTATATATGCTGCAGAAGTGACCACTTAACCTTCTGTCTAATAAAATTGCATTTCAACAGTAGTTTGGACTAATAGATAAAACAGATTACAGAAATTAAAGGGTCCAGTGAAGTGGGGAAAAAAATCAACATTCTAAATCCTGAGATTATATCTGTTGCTTTTGAGGAAGTCAGTTACAAGATATACAGAATTATTCTTCACTAAATAATGCTTGACAGAAATCAATTACTATTTCCTAAGTCCTCCAAGTAAAAATGAAGAGGATCAGTTATTCAGTTAATATAAGTTAGTCACTTATGTACAATATGCAAAGTAAAAGCCTCTGATGTTGTAACTTAATTAAAAAGAAATGAGCACACTAAAACATCAGACTAAAAGCTTATTATATTATCTTTTATTCCTAAAAGGAATATCTATATAATATGCTACACACACATATATATATAAATACATACCTATATACTATATACCAGTATGAGGTAGTATATAATTAATAGCCTAATGGTACTAATAGTAGCAAGTGTTTGTACAGTGATTAGTATCACACTTTGTACTTTTGCTTGAATTTATTACTCTTCACAACAATGCTAATAACAACGTAGGCATTTTTCTTTAGTTTCCTTCTACAGATGAGAAAACTGAGGCACACAGAAGTTAAACACATTGCTCAAGATCAAATGTCTAGTAATGATGAAGAAAAGCTTAAATTTGAGTTTAGCTGTAGTGTCTCCTCGTCTAAGCTGAAATGCAAAAATCTGGGGGTGGGGGTTTGGAAAAGCCACAAGGCTTCAAGAAAGCTTGAAGAAAAATTAGAACCTCATTTTTCAACACTATCCAGAATCTGATGCTTGAAATTTCTTTATTTAAATCAGTTGTATAGAATTTATTCATGAGTGCCAGGTGTGGTGGCACATGCCGATAATTCCAGCACTTGGGAGGCTAAGGCAGAAGTATCACTGTGAGTTCGAGACCAGCCTGGGCTATATAGTGAGTTCCAGGTCAGACTCAACTACATAGTGAGACACTGTCTCAAAAAAAAAAAAAAATTATTGATGATAAAATAGATTTTTCACTACTGAGGGTATGGCTCAGTGGCAGAAAGGTCACTTTAACATAGGTAAGGCTCTGGGTTCAATTTCTGGTAAAGCTGTGGGGGGAGTACATTTCTCTGTTTTGAAGGGAACATCAGGCACTATCTAAGTGCTTTACAGGTATTAATTATTTTAATCCTTACAACTACCAGTTAGAGCCACCTTGTTCTAGGTGGCTCAGAGAATAATTTGCTCATATTCAAAATATTCAGTAACTGGTAGCACTGAAAGATAATCCCAGGCAGTCCTTGCTCTTAAACCTTATGCCATCTGCCTCTCCTAAAATAAAACCTTAAGCTTTCTGTCCTTACGCTTCTCTTCAGAAAAGGGTGTCCTGCTTTAATATTGATATTGACAAACTTCCTATGATTCTGAACTGCCTGCTAAAAGAAGCAAGTCCAGTACCTCAACTATCTCTGCTACCAGTCATTTCGTGTGCTTCCACGTTCAGCCTCCAAAACTATAACTAAATATACCCCTTTCTTCATAAGTACCTATGCCAGGTATTTCATTACAGTAATGAAAAAACTAACATGGAAGTATATCTGAAAAGAATTCTAGGTCCTAGTATTTGAGATTATGTCTATTCTGTTCACCCCTGTATTCCTACTATCTAGCATACTGCCTGACAAAAAGAATATTGGCATATAACTCAATACAAGACGATGATTAATCCAAGAATTTAATGAACAAAAACTATTATTAACCTAACAGTTTTTTCTCTTAAAATTTTTCAAATTAGATGGCTGTGGTGGTGCACATCTGTAATTTCAGCATTTGGGCAGCTGAGGAAGGAGGGTGGTGGGATTTCAAAGCCAGCCTGAATTATATATTGAGACCTAGTGTAAAAAAAATTTTTTTTTCAAAGGAAATTTTTATTTTAATGATGATAGAAATCTGAAAAAAAAAATAGTAAGGTTATTTAAAGTAAATGTAACTTACCTTTGAGCCATCTAAACTGATTATCCTATACACATTTCTTGTGCTGTCATAAAAATAAGACACAGTAACTGCATGCTTGCTGGTGGGTACCCAGTTCTTCTTTGTATTTGGGTCAATCTGGAAGACATGAGCTCGAGTGCTGAAGATAGGTTGTTCCCTGCAGGGGAGAAAAGAAAATGACAGAGAGAACGCAAAACTATAAGAATGATGCTTAGCTAACAACTCCCACATACACCCAAATAAATAAGAGAAACTTTAATTGTGAATATTTTAAGTATTCAATGTTAAATTTTTTTGAAACAATTAATTAGAGCCCATTCTGATTATTCACAGTACATAAACAAATTCACTTACTCTCTAAAATTTATCTGTAACCCTCCAAATTAAATGTTTATGGCATTTTCTTAGTCTTCCACAGATATCCAAAAGAGCAGTGAAAAACCATGAATTGCTGATAGCCACATTTCCATCTGAAGTTGAGTAAAATGATACTCCATTTTCCTGTCCTCGTATTTATAATACATAAACTGTCCTTTTCAGTCTGTTTAGAACCATGCTTGCTTTGCATTTTTGTGCTCATTAGTGCTTTTTCTGTTTAAAATGGTTCCTCAACATTGTGATGAAGAAGTGTTCCTATGTGCTGTCTGTGACCTGCCTTATGAAAACATATGTGTTAGACAACTTTCAGGCATGAGTTAATGCTGTTGGCCTTGAGTTCAATGGTAATGTAGCAACGATATATGTTAAAATGAGGTCTTTAAGCAGTAAGACACATAATGCAATGCTATGTACTTATGGTTGACAAAAGTGCATGGCCAGAGGCTTGTAAAAACATGACACTACAGATTCCCTAGGAGAAATGGCTCAGTATTTGCTAACTCAGGGTTCCTGGCACCTTTATAGATCAGAAGTACTATGAATAATAAAAAAAGGACTATATTCTGTTAAGATATTAAGTGTCTTATATTTGACCCACACAAGGTTTTACCGTTAAACACATTGTCCCGATAATAGATAATCTACTTGGGAAGTTTGCAATCAACATTACATGCACATATTATATTGAAAAGTATATGGAAAACAAAGTAGCTCAAAACCACAAATTTTTTTTTAGGATTAGTTAGGGCTTTAGAGTTATGAGATTTAAAAACTCATAATTTAGAGAACTAAAAGTAAAAACATTAAAAACATGTTACAAAATTTATTACAGTATGAAAAACAAGTGTGAACTATCTACGTATAACAGAAGCTTCATAATGCAAAATTTTCCAAGTTCTAAATAAAAACTTTTGGAAAGAGCATTTTTCCCCCACATAATCTCATCTCTTTCTTTTTACTACTCTTTGTATCACTCTTTTTTTGAAGCAGCTCAAGATCCTAGAGAATTTTAATTGGTAATTATTTAATGTTTATAATTAAATTCAAAATTTTTAATTTTAAAAAATTTAAAATATTTTAAAAATAGTAACTTTAAAGAGGAAAGGAAGTAAGAGAAATTCAAAAACCAGTTAAGGCAAATCTGGGTCCTTCCAAAACAACTCATCAAGTTAATAATGATGGGCTAGCCGCACAAGTTTCTGTCAGTCCTTAAAGTGGGGTGTGGAAAAGAGGGGCCTTCCCAGAAGAACCTGGCTCTTGCCCAGTTTTTTTTTCTTAAAACTTCCAATAAAGCTTTACCTTTTAAAGACTTTGTTTTTAAAGGAAGCAATAAATTTTGTCTTTCACCCCACACCATGAAGCAGGAAGTCATCTCTTTTTGCTTAACCACTGTTATATATGGATTCACTTAACAGGTGAGTACTGTGCTAAGATGAAGAATTCTGAACTGGGAGGTCCCATTCATTTCCTCTTTTCCCATTCTCAGTCCCTGACTTGCAAGTGAGGCTAGTTCTGTAATCTGATACTTCAAACACCCTACAGCCCCCATTTTTCTTTTTTTTTTTTTGGTACTGGGGATCAAATTCAGGTGTTTGTGCTTGAGAGGCAGGCAGTGGAACCACTGAGCTAAATCCCATGCTCTATTTTTCTTCTTTACCTTTCAATTAAAGTTCCAGGAGGAGAGGAGAGGGGAGACAAAGATGAGAGAGAGAGAGATGAGAGGAGTGTCTACATGCACTGCACTTGTCTCATCTTAAGGAATGTCACTGGCATCTATTTGTAGAGTTCATAGAGGTCAGGAATGTTACTGAACCTCTACAAAAAACTGGGTTGCTCCCCACAGTAACGAAGTATGCAGCCACAAACATCAATAGTGCCAAGGCTGAGGAATCCCAATGCTAGAGATGAAAGAGAAATCTAAGTCTCCTGGGTTGCTACTTTGGATGATTAAAAAGACAGTAGTGCCACCAGCCCAGGTGAAAAACAAGAGTACAGTCTGAGACTTGGGGGGATGCAAGGGAGAGCAGGAAGGAGCCCAGTGCTGTCTGAATTCAGATACAGTACCTACAGAGTCTGCACATAGAAGTGGGCATGAAGAACCTAAAAACATTTCTTCAGAGCTGGAAAACTAGACTGGGGTGAAAAGTTTGGGGACTCACCAGATCTCATGACCAGTCTGTTCAAGATATATTAACACTATACATGTCAATAAATTTCATTTAAGAGAAGCTGTAGAAGAAAGCATTAGAGAAGGTATACCTGAAATCTTAAAGCGTTTATCTTTTTTAGACCAGAAATCTATTTGAAACTGATTCTCCCAAGTGTCCAAGCATTAAGATTAATAACTTATCAAATAAATTAGATGACACTTATAAATAAAGGTCAAAATCACCATCTCCTTTGAAACAACTCACAAAAATACTAACTACATGTTTTACTTTTATTGTTTGGGGATGACAAGCAACCTAGTAAACACTTATCTTTAACTGGTGGAGTTAGGGAAGCATTTATATCTGTTCTCCTTTATAGAAAAACTACTTTAAAAATGTATTTTGGGGCCAGGGATGTAGTTCAGTGGCACCCTGCATGCCTGGCAAGCACAAGGACCTGAGTTCAAATACCTGGTACCAAAACAAACAAACAAAAAGTGTTTTGCCTTTTGTGTAATACATAACTTCATATGACAGAATTACATTAAGTATCGAAACAGGAAGAAGAAATAACTTTATTTTTATAAACTACTTTTTAGGGCTTGGATCTTAAATGACCCCCCCAATTTCTCATAATAAATAAAATCTTGATTTGTCAAAAAAAAAAAAAAAAGAAATCCTAGCTGGATTAAATATCACTGTTTCTCAAAGTGTGTTCTATGGAGCAACAATCTGAGAAACGAGTTTAAACAATTTTTAAAAACACCGTTTTATACCCTATTCTGAAGTATTTATAATGCATGTTAAAATATTAAGGGTTATAAGTTCTGTATTAAAGAAACTCACTTAAACTGAATAATACAGCATAAGAAAAATTATTTCATCTCAAATCCCTTTTCATATAACATCTTACCATCTTACAGAGTTTACATTTATAACTACAATTTAAGAATCACAGAACAAATTTTGAGGTAATTAACTTCTGAAAGTTGGGGTTTGATATTCTATCAATTTAATTATATTACTGAATGTATTTATATAGTGATGGTCACTAGAAAACAGATGATAATGCAAAATTGAAGTCTTATTCAGTAACAACTACAGTATCATTTTTGAAACAGATATTTGTTAAGAATACTCTCTTTTAAGAAACTAAACATTAATCTAAAACTCAAATTTAAAAGCAAATAGATTTGGCATAAAATGCTCTAAACTAGCTTAGAATAGCAAAACTATGCATACACACATTTTCATCCTAGACAATCATCTATTTGGTGAGTTCTTTATACATCTATAAGGAGAAAAGTAAGAGGGGCTTTACTTCATGAATTATAAAAAATCTAGTGTAAGAATAATTCAGAAGTTCTTCATCTTAAGATTAAAATTTTGAAAAAGTGATAGATTCTAAAACAATGTGGATGTAGAAAATTGAAAGAATGTTAAGGTATAGATAACTGAAGAAAAAAGAATCGGAATTTGGTTTTAAAAATAAAGCTTATTCAAACTCATTTAACTTGACATAAAGAATTACTACAATTTAGCTCTCAGGCATCTGTGTAATAAGAAATAAATGAGGACCATAAGAAACCGAAAAGAAAAAGACTATTTTTCAGGAGGTATACAAGGTCTAAATCTAGATAAAAAGCAAGAAGTTAACATTTGGCATTTGGATAGCTTTCATTACAAAAAAAAAAACAAAAAAAAACAATGACAATGCTGTTTAAAACCCATTACTGAAGTCTATATTTTTCCAAATATTATGTGTTTACTCAATAAATCTTTGTTCCAAAGAAGTACAAAGATCTGTGTCCAGTAAATATGACTTGAAGGGAAAGAAGAAAAATGATACATTTCCCAATTACCTTTAATGCCTAGCTTACAAAGGTCCTTTTCAGATATGTAAGTACAAATAAATATTATAGCAAACATTAAAAAAAAAAGGTTATGGTTTCAAATAATTCCCCAATCTTCCTACTTAAGTTTTCATAAGTAGCCTAGCAGAAACGCTAGAAACAAGGTTGTAATATTTTCCTCTGATGATTTCACAGTGTTGCAGACACTGTTGGCTGACTACCCTAACTACCCACCAATTATTCTTCCACAATCCTAACAAACCTCAAATACCCCACCACCTGTCAACAACTAACAGCTTCGATTCAGATAATCATGGCAATCCCACTGTTGACAGAATCTGGTTTTGAAATGTATCTCTAAAGTAATTCTGGTCAGTGAAATGACTAAGAAAAGTCCACTGGAAGCTTCTAGGAAAACTGATAGAGATAATTACATATACAAGCAAAGATGTTCTCTTACATGATACCCAGCCCCAAGAAACCACCTGATCACTCTAAGGAGAACATGTCTGAAAATAAAGGCCAACATTCCTCGTTAATAAAGTAGAAGAAAAAAACAAAGAATCTGTTTCCTTTATTATGTCACTGAACAAATTAGTCTAACTCCAGACTTCTGATATTAACAAATTTCCCATTTGAAACACTTATTTAAAAATATACACAAATGGTAACTGAAGCAAGAGGTTTACATGTAATAAACTGCAATGCCCCCTAATAAAATATGATTAGTAGTTCGCTAGAACTTGCTGGCTAGCTAGACTGGTTATTCGCGAACT